GCCCGGATGGCAAGCTCCTGGCGCTCCCAGGACGAGCTGACAGACCTCTCTATAAGGTCGAATCCTTTTATAAAGGCCACCAAGAGCCGATTAGGCTATTCAGCTCCTCGCTGGTTGTGGACATGTATCCTATTGACTGTCTTTGGATGGTGAAGGATTCCCGTTATCGGTATAGTTTGGCTCAAGGTGGCAAGCACAATGGCTTGCCACAGACACTATACAAGCCGGTAATTTTGTGAAATGATCCTGAGCTCCGCTACCGCAGCAGTGCCAGCTGGCATTGCAATATTTCAAGCTACGAGTGTATACACACAGCAGGTTTGGACACTTGCAACTTCAACTTGCAGAAAAAGCCATGGCAGACTGTCAATGCACACACAGGTTGTCAATTTAAACTCAATGGCAAATTGTGCAGACACAGGTTTGCACAGTTGCAGTTGTCAATTTACACTCAATGGCAAACTGGTTCATGCGCACACACCCTCACCCTGTGACTGTTGGCACATTGAATCTTCAGTTTACGCAATTAAAAAATAGAAATTGGAGGATATTACTGGGCGTGCTTTGGATCTTGGGGTTTAGGGTTTAGGGTTTAGGGCTTAGGTGCTACATGGCTGATTTAAGATCTATATATATATATATATAGTGACCCTTATGTACATAGAATATGGGGTATACGTAGTGTTTAGGGTTTAGGGGCTACATGAGTGAATTTGGGTCCATACTTATAATAGTGGTGAGGCTCAAATGTAATCCCCCTTAAGTAGATAGAATGCAGGGCACATATACCCTGTAAGGTTCCGGGGTAAAGGCTGAACGGTTACAGGAACAACTTTGGGTTTACAAGGGTGTGGTTGAGAGTCCCCCGTGAGTGGATCGAAAATGGCTTTGGGTCTATTACACTACAAGACACCCATATACACCATATTCTATCTTGTCAAGGGGGACAATGTGCTGTAGATAAGCTGTTTACCCTCTAATTTCCAATTATAATCTAGAATGCTTGCCCTCTGCGAACACGAACTCCATAGCCCTGACTCCAAGCTTGCAGAAATCCACAAATCCTAAACTTGAAATCCCGCCCAAGCTCAAAACCACGTAAACCCCAGAACCCTGAACTTTCATCCAAAATCTCTAGGCAATAAGCCTGAAGTTCGAAAAATTTGGGGATTTGCCAAGGGGTGGGCTTGGCGTCAAAGGTTTAGGGTAGGATCTGCCGCAATTAAGGGCTATTTGATTTGCAATTGGGTTATAATCGAATATCATGAGTTTGGCAGCACACTGCCAGCAATCCTCTACAGGTCACCAGGGTTTGAGGAGGTTTAGGTCTAAAGTCCCCCTTAAGTACATAGAATATGCGGTATACAGGGATCTTATGTATTATGATATACCCAAAGCCATACTCTATGTACTTAAGGGGGACTATTAGGGATCCATGGGTTCCAGCCGGAAACCGCCTTTTAGCGCCGCCACTGCAAGCAAACCTGTAACGCGTATTTAAACGCGACATGGGCCGAAAGGTAGGCCGGATGGCTCTTGGATGCTAGCTGTTTAATCCTCCTAATGAAGTCCTCACTAATATAGTTTGATGCATAGCGAGGATTCAAACTGCCGCAATCCAGCAGAACGTGTTCTGTAAAATGGTGCTTGGGTCTGAGGACCCATCTGCATTGAGATTTACTCAAGGCTTCCTGGCACAATTTGTCATGGCCACTACGCCAAACTAAATACATGAAGCGGAGCTCGTTCTGAGCACCCGGTGGCAAAATCCTGCCATGCAGCACCATGAGCTCTTCCATGCGTGCAAGCGCGATGCACACCCCGGCTCGAAGCCTGATATTTTGTGTTGAGAACACAGCTAGGGTTTCAGGGTCTAGAGATTAGGGTTTAGGGTTTAAAGATTAGGGTTTAGGGTTTAAAGATTATAGGGTTTAGGGTTTAGGGTTTAGGTATTTCAAAGATTAAGGTTTCTGGCCAAAAAAAAGTTTAGAGATGGGACTTGGAGCTATCATAGTACTCAATCCTGCAAAGTTGCTCGTAGAAAGCTTCTCCCACATTTGCTTCCAAAAGGTAGCGGCAAAGCTGTGCAAGCCAGAACATAGCATAACGCGCAGCTGTGCCACTGAGCAGCTTCTGAGAAACATTTATATATTCCTTGGAGTTCGGCTTGAGGTAGCTGGTGGTAAACAGTTTGCGGGCCGCTCGATCCTGCAGACCTGTCGGGAAATATGTGGAAAGATTTAGGATTTGGGCTATTTCAGCTGGTATGTTACAGATCGAAACAAACATGTGCTCTTGAGTATTTGAATCCAATGGCCTTGGCTTTCGCACCATTCTTTGTATGAGTTCCAGAGCATTTCAAGTTCACGCTCCCTTCGAGGCCCATCGGATAAGTCGCAGAGCATGGATGTCAGAACATCTGGAAATGTGGCCAGGTGCAGTAAATGCATTGGATCGCCGAAGATTCCTAGGTTCGAAAATTTGGAATATATATTGAAGATCGAATTCGAGGTGATGCTAGAAAAAATCGCCGATCTCGGGCCAAGCAGCTCCAGGGGTCAAATCCTGGTACCTGCGTGAGCGGAGTCGGGCCGTGGATCATGATAAACTCCTCTGCTCCGTTCAGCAACCTCGGCTGAAATGTGGCATGTAAACCTAATCCGACATATCCCGAAAAAATCAACTCTGTTCGAATTTAAACAAAAACCCGGGCTTTATGTACAACTTTAGGTTTTCTGGGGTATACTCTTATAAGAGTACCTAGTGAAATCTAGGGATTGGGGCTGCGCCACGCAGGTTTTGTACGCAGGGCTATATCTTGAGCCTAGTTTCGTGAGACGATGGCGTGCTTGGGGGCCATAGTTTGTAAACAAAAGCTCCGGGTCATTGGGGAGCCCATCTGGATCACCGTGTTCATATATCCAATGTAATGCCTAGAACAGGGGTTGGGGTTTACAGGCTTTCAGGGTTTAAATGGTTGGGATTGCACATGCTTGCCTCGCATAAGAAACACACCCTCTTTCGAGAGTAATCACCTATAGTGCAATGAGAACATGAAGAGCTCCATGAGTGTGAAAAGACAAACTGCAGGGCATCACACGGCTAACAGAGATTCGATTTAATGCTGAATGTTGTATCCAAGAATCGCTGCAGATTGAACAGTTTTTTCACGAACTCCCAATCAGACATTATGCCGTCGAAAGCGCCGATGAAGCCTTGCGCCAGCGGGCGTCCGGCCATGCGGAATCTATCCGGGTAGTAATCCTTGGAGAATGGTCTCCCCCAAGGGTCAGCATCGGGATACATACCAATACCTTGACAGGGAGGTTCTCAGGAACGTTTCTTGTTTTTTGGCTTGCACGGCTTGCCCACAAATCTAAAACAACAAGCGTCTCAGCGCTTCGAACGACCATTGCATGACTCGAAGGATCGTTTGCCGCGAATCATCTCCGTGGTAGTTCCCATTTATACAGGACAACCTTGGTTTCCATGCAAACATTTGTTTAGAACATCAAGATTATTTTCCAGGAGCTGTAACTACGCACACATGATCATGGTTGCGAATAGGCAGCAGGAACCGGCTGCTGGTAGTGCTTGAGGAGCCCAGGGGTGCAATCATGACCAGGATCTCGAACTTCTGTTTACCTCCATTTAAATCCCCCAGGTACAAACGCAGCACACTAAGGACCAAGGGTTACCCATTGCAAGTAGGACTCGGGTGAATTCCGCCCCGTCTCCATAAAACCGAAGCGGGACTGCATATCCCCAGTCATCCAAAGCCTGACATGTTGAATTCAGAACTTGGAGTTTCAGTTGAGCTATGGGGCCTGCAGCGCTGGATGCGAAGCTGTCCACTGCTCATCCTGATCCATCCAATATTCTCGAGCCTTGGTTGCGTAGGCTGAGTCTATGTCGAGGATCCAGGTTTATTTTTATCATAGCTAATTTAAAGCGGAATAAAGCGTGGAAGCAAGGGGCAGCCTCCATTCCAGGCCACAGCAAATCAAAGTGGTTCGTCTCATATAATTGCGCGAAGATTTCATGGGGAAGTAGCATGTGATGCTTCACGTTCCGCTCGGTACGTCCCTGAGCGTCTTTGTACACCTTGGAAGTGTTCTTTGCTTCAAAGCTTCCTAGTCCTAGATTGCAGGGTTAGCAAAAGGTGAGAAATCATTTGCATAAGAACCATAGGACATCGAGGCTGATACTGCTTTCAATTGGATCCTCGGCTGCTCTGTCAAGGAACTTGTTAGGGGTTGGGGTCCTGGGATTAGCTAGATTTTTCGTCTACTGGGGACCTGGGATTGGCGTGCATGACTTTTCATGTACAAAACCAAATCATGAGCCAAGTCTCTGGAATGTCTGAGGCAAAGCCTTTCGCCAAGGCTGCTTGTTCACCCAACGTTGTAGCTGCCGTAGCTGACCCCAAGCTTTCGAGGTTTCCCGGAAGGCATATGCCAGATCAAGCAAATCTTTCCTGAGATCCCGTGAGGTCCAACATAATCAACATAATCATATCCCCGCATGCAGCAAGTATTGTATACTGAAGCCAAACAACGGCACCATATCATGAGGAAGCTCATAAATTCTTTTCAGATCTCGTGCAAGATCTGCCAGAGGAACCTGCGGAGGCCACAGTGAAGATTGCTAGGCAAAGTATACCATCTCAGCCCCCAACCTGGCCACGGGAGAGTAGTTCTAGAGCGTGATCACAAGTATCTTGGACATAGGATCTCACCCACTCTGCCGGGTGCACACTTGGTGGCCCCAACATTACAACCCATGGGTTCGAAGCGGTGAAACAAACCTTGATCGAAGGGAGGGTCTAACAGTATGGGACAGTCTGGGCTACCTTATTATGATGGCTACCAAAAGAAAATTCAGAAGCGATAAACTTGGGAAAATTGGTTTAGGGCATGGGGTTGAGATAATTCAGTCAGCAAGCTTGGAAGATTGATATAGGATTATGCAACCAGCTACCCCTCGATCTTGATCCAGCCAAGGTATGCGCACGCTTCAATCTGCAGCGAAGATGACACTTCTTGCGACATGGAGGTACATGCAATTCAGAGGAAGCATCATATACACCATTTTCCCCAAGATGCGTCTCGATCTCCCGCCCCTGTGCGAAAGCCCCACAGGATCGCAGGTTCATGATTCAGGCATTGCATTGGAGCTTCCCCACGCTGAGCTGCTACTATATCTGGGGATGCTGTTGTATAAGTTTCACACATTGCCTATAATAGGAGTTACGCAACAGCCCATGGGTTGGCCCAAAGTTGCCTCACCCCTAACCATCCAGGATAAAATCTTGCCTACCTACTTCCTGCTTCGCTTGGCAGGCGGCGGGCACTCGGCATCAGCATCATCCCATTCGGGATTCTCGCCCTGAGCCTCGTCCAAAGCATCATCATCCAGCATCTCTTCCCCATCATTATCATCATCCTCTTGGGGATCTCCTCCCTCGGACTCCTTCTTTTGCTTCTCCACTTCCTTTTCTTGCTTCCGCTTGAGGGCAGCAACGCCTCAATTCTCGAGAGTGATTGTGTGGAATCCGCATTTCAATTCTAGCGTAGCAATCTAGGTATGTATACTAGTATACATAGGCAAGACACGACGAAGATGACCCGTCATGATATTCTCCGCTTGGCTGACTCTGTGCTGAAAGTCCTGCACAAATCATGCGTAGAACTATATGAGCTGAAACATAAGGGCTGCTTGAAGTGTGTCCTCCAGGGTCTTCTTTTCCTTCTCCAAGGCTTTAATACATTCATAGAGCGGCGCGCTCGCAAAGATCATCTTTTGGATCCTACAGGAGTGGGGGGTTCATGCACTTAAGGTATTTTGGCTTTGAAACTATACTCTATGGTTCCCTACATTCGATTTGGTTTTTTGCTAGGCCTCGAGTGAATAGCAGCAGCCTTGTCCGAGATCTGCCCAAGCTTCTTGATAGTCTCCTTTAGACAGGTGTCAGCCTAAACTACAATTTCACCCTGAGGATATTTGAGGTAATAACGGGGTTGGGCCTCCTGGTCCAGGATACCACAATTGGCCAAGCCAGATGCAACAGCGGATGCCTTGTTCGACAGATCTCTCACCCTTAGTTCCGAAGCTGCGCATGATAGTATAGTTGGCATCAAGAAGTTGCATGAGTTGAGTTCAAATGTGCAAAATGATTGGCCCACGCCACGCACAGTTGTCGCGGTTGAAATCCCTTTTGTCTCTCTCCTCCTGGGAAATCTCCTGATAAATGGGATGAAGCAGGGTGAGCTAGGGATTTAGGATTATAGGGTATGGGATTTAAGGATTTAGGATTTTGCGTTTAGGGAACAGATCGAAACTAATTATAATGGAAAACGATCCTTCTTGGGCTTCGGGGTCTTCTTCGCGTCTGCAACTAGGGCCGGCTTCCCCATTGACGCCGCCTTGCCCTCCAGGGACTCCGTCAAAGCAGCCCGTTCCGCTTTGTTTCTGGAAGGGGTTACCACGGCTTGGGTCTTGTTTCCAACCCTGCTGATATTCGAGCCTAGGATGTGAATGCACAGTTTGATATAATGGAACAAGTCATGCGTCAAGACATAATACCATTCAAGGCACTTGTCGTGTCCACTCCCACATATACTTTGTAGATCTTCATCTCATCATCATTGCTTTGTGGGTGTTTCTTGCCTCTCTGACCTGACTAGCCCCCCATTAAAGCAAAGTAAAATAGAATCAAGGCGATAGCAGTCCACATGGGCCCAATTGCTGAGGATGATGCTGGCGATTATGTCATCGACGAACTTCTTGCCACCTGGCAAGCCTTCATATTTCTGCCTTATCAGACATAGCGGCATCTCAGTGAATTTCTCCTTTGACTTGTCTTCACTCAGCCTCATATCATGCACTTGACATAGCAGGGATCTCTGATTGCAAGCTGAAGCTGCAAAACTGTACCCAGTAAGCTCAGCAAAGTTGCTCCTCGAAATACGGAGTCACAGTTATGGAATCCATGTCCCTGTCTAAGAGGAAAGCCTTCAGAAACTGAAACCTGAGTATGGATGTGGGGGTGATTCGGGTGGTTGTGAAATCCTACATGCAAGCGTTGGAAATGCACCCAAGTCTTTGGCTTCTCCATGGTGTCGCGGGCTGCGCTCCATTGAGCCACCAAGCCTTTCTTTAAACCTTGGCTACAGAGTACATTCAATCTTTTTCTAGAATGAGGTTCAAGGATGTTGTCTAGAGGTAAGCAGGAAGTACTAAAGAGTAGGAGCCAGGCCCGTGGGGTTCTGCATGCGACGTCGGAGGCCCTCGTTCAAGCGCTTGCGTTCCGAAAGTGGGATGTCTTCGGGTCCGCTCAGAGCCTCCGTGCGCAGAAATCACTATAGCAGATGAAACCCAAAACCACTGATCCCAGGCTTATTCATGCCTCGATCTCGGCCTTTTCTTCCGGCGTCAGCTTCCGCACCTGGATGACATCTCGGAACGCAAGTAATTTAAGCTGTGAGGTGTGCTGACATGGGAAAGCCAAGCTGCATCATTGGGGCTGCCATTGAATGTGAATCTTTTCCCAAGTGCTTGCATAGGAACATCACCATTCCCGTTGCTCTGATTTGAAAGCCCAGTATCACTGCGTGGAAGATGCCTTATCACACGAACACAAAAAAAGCAGCTGCTTAACAACAATGAACAATGATCATGCGCAAAACGATGGATTATGTAAGGTTATGAGTCCCCAGTGGCTCTTGCTTCGAGGATGGTGACGTGGAGGTGCTGTCTCCTGCAATGATGGAGGGTAGCAATTATTAGAGACGAAAAACTGATTCTTGTATGTAAAGTAGTAGCACTGAAAGGCTCCTGAGGTAGACCCAAAGGAACACCTTCTCCGCACATTGTTATCCATCGAGTCCATGGAATCAGATGTAGCCGCACGTTTGACACCCTGGGAGTTGCCATGTCCTTTGCCCTTGTCCTTCGAGGAGGGAGTTGCCCCGGCCACCTGCTGCTTGCCCTTAGACCCCTTACTGGAGCCTCCTTTGTGCTTGGTGTCGTATCGCCGGGCTTTGCTTCTCGTACGCATTTAGCAGGAGGGCTCTGGAGCTCGTCAGTTGCATTGCCCTTCATGGAACCCTTCAGGACAGCAGACTCATTCTTGCCTTTCCCCTTGCTTGTAGTGGTGCCCTTCTCCTGTTTCTCGTGATGCGGAGTCACTGGCTGAGGGACTGGATGTAACCCACGCTCAAGCTGCATGACAGCACCTGCTGAGGGGCTGACAGCTGCTGGCGCGCTGGGTCCTGACGCTGCTGGTGACTTGGATTTGCACTTACCCTTTCCTGACGGTGGGGTCATAGTGGCCTGGTCGACGGTCTTGCCTTTTCCTTTAGCTGGGGACGAAGGTTGCTGGGCAGTCTTAGCCTTCCCTTTTGCTGGGGATCCTCC